TTTGTATAGGTAAAGCTGGAATGTAACACATGGCTTATGGAATACTGTAGTTCTCTTGGCCTGAATTTTTTAGTTGATATAGTAGAGAAAGGGGAATTCTTCTTTTCTATGACTTAAATACATAAATTCTCAGTGTAGCAATCTTTTTATAATTGATTATTACAGCTTCTGTTACTCTTAGAAGTTGACCAACAGGGACCTGATTTTAAGAGATTTTGTCATTCAGCTTTCATCTAGTAAACGCTGAGACCAGCCCTTTGTTTGTAGGGGCCTCTGTCAGTGAAGAGAATCTGTGACTTCTTTCCTGGCAGCCAAGGAGTGGGGAGGAGTCTAGGATTTTAATGTTCTCTGTGTAAATGAGTTTGTGTGCTTGAACCTGATGGGCACTAGATACTATATGAGGTCTGTCTGGAAAAAGTCCAACCATTTTTAATATAATGAGAAGCAGTTTGGGTGACATTGGTGTAACCCGGCAGCCAACTGAGAGTGGACCAGAATGTGCATGTGTGAACAATGGCGACCTCACTGTACCAGTGAGTGGCGGTGGCGGATACCCTTGAGTGAGCATGTGCATTGTGTGGCCATAGCATTTGCATTCAAAATGACAGTGAGTAGAGCAATGAATTTGCATCACATTTTGTATTAGGCTTGAACAGTCCTCCATGGACACTATTCGGATGATTCAGAAGGCCACAGCTGTGGGCAACAGGTGATTGGCAGCTTCATCACAACATACTTGCTCAGGTATCAGGTCTCCTGCAGAATTTTTTGAGGAAACATCAAATCACTCTTGTGACTCAATCCCACTACAGCCAAGATTTGGTGCGCTGTGATTTCTGGCTTTTCCCAAAACTGAAATCTCCTTTGAAAGGGAAGAGGTTTCATATAGTTGATGAGATTCAGGAAAATAGGACAGGGCAGCTGATGGCAATTGGGAGAACTGTGTGAGGTCCCAAGGTGCCTACTTTGAAGGGGACTGAGGCATCATTGTCCTATGCACAGTGTTTTTTGTATTTTGTATCTTCTTCAATAAATGTCTCTATTTTTCATACTGCATGGCTGGACACTTTCTGGACAGACCACAGTATATTCTTGAAGCACTGGAGGACCTTGTTGCAGCATTTCAATTTCTCTTTCTCATTCTTTCAAGTAGTGGAAAACAAACTCCAGATTAAAAAAAAATGCTGCGTATGCTTTTTCAAAAGCTGGTAAATTCATTCAATTGGATAACAAATTTCAGATATAATACATTATTATAGTTTTCAACTTTCTTTGATATTGCAAAGGAGAGTTAATTGGGATGAAGTTAAGCAGGAAGTAAGCTGAAGAAGCCAGTATGTGCTGAGGGTAGCTGGCATGGAGGTACATGTATGATCCATACTTTGTGGGAGCTTTTGAGTTGCATAGAAGAAACATGTAAAGAACTCACAAGTTCTTTAACAGTTAGTAAAAGTTAAATATTTAAATGTGAGGATGTAGCTGCTGGATTGCAGCTTAGTTTAGAACCTACTTTTTTAATGAAAAATATTTTTTTAAGTTCATAAAGAAAATCTTAGAAATTTAAATATAACTTGCAGGGAGAAACAAACTTGCAGCCCAGAAGTTTAAGTAGAAAATTGCATGTGCTTTTGGGTACTTTAAAGGGGATTATTTATTAAGATTTGAAGGACAGAAAATTTTATATATATATATATTTTTTTTTTTTTTTAGAAATTGACCATTCAGTATGGCCAATTTCTGAAATACAGAGTAGGGCAAAGTAGGCTTACAGTTAGTAGTACTTGAAACACAGAGTTTATTCTCGTATATTTCATTATTAATTATTATATCATTTTCCCATAGAACAACTGTAAACCTAACTTTCACCCCACCCTGTATTTGGAATACATAAGAATAGTAGCCAAAATGGCAATCCTTTCTACTGTTAACTTATTGTCCAAATTTCCTTTGATTTTTCCTCTTCTGTAGAAAATGCTTCTAAATGTGAATTTAGAAGGGAAAAAGAAGTAGAAGTTATAGCTTATTCCATTAATTTTGTAATTATATTTTTTCCTCAGTGTTTTTAAGTGGCATTTACTAGTATGGGTGAGATTAATTGTTAACAATACAAACCAATTTGAAAATTGGTTATTAAATTGAGCTATAATATGTAAAATCTTACGATAATGTGCAGATCTGACTATATTCAAGTGCAGTTTTCATACCCACACCAATTGTCTTGTAATAATCGTGAATGCATCCTCTGTGTGGTATTTACAAGTTAATGCCATTTTAGAAATCACACCAGTATATCTAGTGGCTTTCCTGGGTGTATGTGGCTCATTAACGATTATAATTTTAATTTGAAATTTTAGTTTAAGGGGATAGGGTAAAGCCCTTTCAAATTCTTAGTTGTTAGGAGTTTTGATGGAAGATAGGATGTGTGATGGAGGAAGATTAGAGTGAGTTACAAAAGGAAAGTCAGATGATAATTAAGCAAGTATTATACATACTGTAAAAATAATACAGGATCTAATATAAAATGAAGGCAACAAACATTCAAAAGAGGAATGACTTAAAAACTTAAAGGACCATTCATAAATACAAGTAAATATGCATATTTTAATAAAGATGAGAACAAGCAAGTGGCTTTAGTGTAGCTGAAAGTGTTTGAGCCATCATCCTTTTGAGAAGGGAGTGGGGAGAAGTGACAAGCTAGCTACCTTCCAGTGCTTATTCCTTTTGTTCCCCATTATTTCCGTTTTACTCTTCTGTATTTTTGTTCTCCCTTTTTGTATACTCTTCTTCCTCTTCCACTTTTCTCAGATTCATTCTCTGCTTCACAATGAGACTTTCTTCTGTCTGGCACACAGAACCAATTGCTTAATAATGTGCACATTGTCTCTTATGAACAGTGAGAGAAATTCACTAACAATGAGTTTTTTTTACATTAAATATTTTAAATATGAAAGAATTTAAGGTTGCGAGAGTATCACTTGAGTGTAAAGGACTTTTGTCTTTTTTGTTCATTGTTCTATCCCCAGTGCCCAGAACACTGTCTAGCACAAGGAAGATGCTTAATAAATACTTGTTAAATAAATGACTAAAACATTACTTAGAAATATTTAATCTCATTTACTTATAGAATTTATTTTAGCGAAGAACTTGGTGCTTCCCAGTCAAAGATATGGGGGTAAGGTGGGTTTTTGAAAAAATTTTCAAGGTGGTCAGTTAGCTAGAGTGGTAGGCCAATAGGAAGCACAGAGGTGAGTTAATATAGGCAGTGGGGAAAGGTCAGATTAATCGAGTGCTTGGATTTCATACAATAGGTACAGGGAGGGAGCCATTATGAATTATTGATGAGAGTGACATGATAACAGAGTGAACACAATTATTCTATTTAGTTGCTGTTTGTAAAATGGATTATAGCTTGCGGTGAAGAAATAATTGGAAACAATGAACAGAGTTAGGAGCTTGTTGTGGGAGTTCAGAGCGGTTTAGCTGTTTTGTTTGGAGTGTTATCCAGTGATATCTTTAGCAGGTGCCCTTCTTTGAAGTCTGATGTCTCCACTCTTTATGACCTAGGGGTGGATGGAGTCAGGAGGAAGAGTTCTTCACTAAGAAGTAATAGGCCAGGATTCTACTTTCCTACCTCTCTGCTTTCTAAATTCATGATCATAGATAAATACTTAATTTTTCCTGGGCATCAATCACCTTAACTATAAAATGAGGAAATAATGATCCGAAAGCAGGGGTCTAGATCAGATCACTTTTTGGTGTCCTTATTATTCTTGTATCAGTTATAGATAGTGTGATCAGTGAATATCATATCTTGTTTCCTAATATTAATTCTTATAACTAGAGTATTTTAAAAAGAAAAAAGTTCCATAATGATGTTTAATATTTCCTAGCTTATAAAGTTTAGTGTTATGTGCATTGACTGCTATAGTTTAAAATATGTATTCCTGTTTTTATATGTGCTATTATCAGGTATTTAATTTTTTAAGTATTATTAGGCTGTAATAGTACCCAAGTGGATGAACAAAACTTCAACCTGGGATATTTTTAAGGAAACTCAAAGAATATAAAACTGCTTGTAAAAGATAAAGTATTTTATAAAGCTATAGGAGCAATAACACTAACATTGTTTAGTCAATATTACTAGAAATCAAAAATTCTACCGTATTTTGCTACTGAATACACTATATATAGATAACGTGTATATATATATATATATATATATATACACACACACACACACACACACACACATTCACACATACTTGTTTGCTGAGAAAGTTTAACTAGCAGCATTTGGGGTTCTCTTTTCCTCTTTTTTTCTCCGTTTCTCCTTTGTTGCTGTTTTCCCTTCTGTTTGGGTTGTTTCTTGCCCTCCCCCCTCCCCTTTAATCCATCTGGAAAGATGAAGAAGCAGCTGCTATGGTAACTATGCATTTTGGTTAATGAATGGCAGACTAACAAGATACATAAAACATATGCAAACTGTGCAGAGTTAGTTGCTGTCAAAGCTGTAGGGGTATAATACTTTTCCTTCTTCCTACCTTCTAAAAAAATACTTTTAACTTTCCTGTGGTATTTTGTTTTCTAATTTACCATTGAAATGCTAACGTGAACTATTTCTTTTTCTGTTTGGTCTGCACCTATATCACCCTGTGGTGAGTTTATAGGAGATGAGTCGAGGTGCATAGAGGGGGAAAATTGATTAATTGGATTAAGAAGTGGATTTCTTTTAGATACATACATAGAAAAGGGACAAAACTTTTTACTAAATATATTTAGCATTGTACTTAACGTTTTCCCCCTTGTTTTTTGGGCATTAGTGCCTCATTTGAGTCTCTCTCTGGGGTTAGAACTAATGAGTAGTGTGTTTCTTGAATATACTTCTATCATAAAGGGCAGCTACAACTGGAATATTGCATTCAGCCAAGCCTTGAAAATTCCTGTAATCTGTACCATCCTGTCTCATACTGTCCCATCTCATAGTTGTCCTCTCTCTGCAGTGCTCTATGCCCAGGTCTCTGTGGCTGGGCTGCTCCAGCCTGGCGGACAGCATGCCTTCGCTGCGATGCCTGTATAACCCAGGGACTGGCGCACTCACAGCTTTCCAGGTACTTTCTCTGTCTCTGTGCGTTATTTGCGGGCTTTAGTGTGTGTGTGTGTGTGTGTGTCTAATTTATGAGTGTTTCCCTCCTTTTTCATGCTTTACTTATGTTCACCTTTTTTCCTCCATATTGTCTGTATATCACATCACTCAGTACTCCTTTAATGATTAATTTCTAATGTAGATCCAGACTGATCCACTCTTAAGACATTTCTCTTTCATGATTGGTTTGCCAAAATTGAGATAGCACAACTGGACAGTTTGTTTTCATATCTAGTAGAAGTACAATAGTGAATTTTAAAGTAATCACAACAAATAGCATTCAATATGTAATGTTTGCTCTGGACCTACATAAAGCCAATTAATGTAATTAATCACAGCCAGTTACTTCAATACCTTTTTATGTTTTTCTTATGATCACTAAAAGTATAAAGTGCTCTGGCAGAGTATCTGCTGGTTTATATATATAAAATCTTTTTTGGGAAGTAATAACTGCTTAATTATATGTTGCTTAACTAAACCAGGTCTAGTTTCAAGGTAGAAAGGCCTTTGAGACCTTTGAATTCAGTGTTCAGCTTGAGACAGTCAGGCTACTCTTGCATGGACCGACAGGTTTTACTTCTTTTCAGCCTTTCCTCGAGGTCATTTGTCCCACTGATCACAGGTCAAATTTAAAGTTTTATTTATTTATTTTTAGCAAGGGGGAGGGGAAAGGAGGGAGAAGGAAGAAGGAGAGAAACATCAATGTGTGGTTGCCTCTCCCTGGTGGGGATTTTTTTTTTTTTGGCAGAAGTATTATCTGTCCACCTCCAGTTTTTGGAATTTGTGTTTAGCATTTCATAGTAATACACAAAAAGTTCATTTTTTAAACTTATTTTTAACCTATGTAACTTTTTTCATTTAGAAGAATTTCAAAGATGAGTAGGTAAGCAAGCATTAGAATGCTTGTGACTCTTAGTTAAAAGAAAGGAACTTAAGTATTCCACATTCCTGATCAGTGCTAACAGTTGCTAGTCTTTAATCATGATAATGCTGATATTTCTGTTGTCCTTTGCAAAATATACTGTTAAGCTTCCTTTGCTCACGTTATGAGGTACATTATAGTAAAGTGTGTAGGCTTTAAAATTAATTAAATTAGGGCTTACACGCTGTGGCTAGTGGTATTATCTTGAGCAAGTCATTTAATCCTCATGTTCCTCATCTGTAAATGGAGACTATAGTGAGGACATGCAGTAAATGGTTGGTGTTTTTATCATCTTCATCATCATTAGCATCATTGCTATTGTTAGAGAATATTGATATCCTGAGAATATCAATTTGTGTAAAATATTTTTTTACTATGTATTGTATTGATAAAATTTCTGCTCTCAACGAACTCACAGTCTAGCTTATTGGTTTTTAACCTTTTCATTTTTTGCTTGCAATGAGTTTAACTAAAACTGGTAAGTCTCAACTGATAAGTTGAGAAACCAGTTGCAAGTTTAAGAGCCCCCACACCACTTTCAGGTTTGATAATTCACCAGAAAAGACTCACCGAATTCAGTGAAAGCTATTATATTCATATTTTATTGTAGGAAGAGGGTGCAGGTTAAAATTAGCCGAAGGAAGAGACACACAGAGCAGAACCCGGAAGGGTCCAAGTGTAGAACTTTCTGTCATCCTCTCCCCATAGAGTCATGGATGGCATTTCTGCTTTTGGGCCACAGTGTGTGAAAAAATACGTTGGGTATTGCCAACCAGGGAAACTCACCCAAGCCTCTGGTGTCTAGAGTTTCTATTGGGACTGAATTACAAACTGTCCCCGAGTAGTGACCTTTATCTCTAGCCCTTCCTGTCAGTCACACTAACGCTTTTAGTCTCCATTTCCTCTCAGGATTGGAACTGCTAAAGCCCCCATCTTGAATCACACTTGTCTGGTGGCTAAAGGCCCCAGGCACACAGAGGCACTCCTGTTAGGTAAGAACTTCCAGGCCTAGATATCACCTCCCAGTAGCCAAGAGCGAAGGCCAGAACTCATTTTGGATAAGGTGAATTTTTCAGTACACATGGGTTATGGACTCCTTTGAGGATCTGATGAAAAGTGTTGATCTTGTAAAAATACTGTAACACATAGCAGAATTTTATTTAATAGTTTTGTATACGGGAATATTATACTTATGTTTTACTTGGGAGAGCTAATAAATTACATAATCCCAAAAGTCTAATCTCCCAAACTGATAAATCTATGAAGAAAATGTGCAGGGAGCCATAAGAATATATTAAAGAGGAACCTGATCTTACCTGAGGGTGTGGGGGTAAGGAAGATCAGTTAATCAGTGTTCGAATAGGAATTAATGAGACCTCAGGAAGAGTCAGTGCAAAGGCCCTGTGGACAGGTGGAGGTTGGTGCATTTAAGGACTCTACTAAAAAAGACTTGTATCAGAGAATGAAGAGAATGGAGATTCTTGATCATGCAGGACTGGTCTTAATGCTAAGAAGAGCAGTGAGCTGTAGAAAGGATTTGAACACAAGTTTGATGTATATGCATTTAGATGTATTACTCTAGCTATAATAAGGCTAATTTCAGTAATTGAAGAGAGAGATGGTGTCAGTTTTATTTGGTCTCAGGATTTGCATTCTTAAAATTATTGAGGACCCTGCCCCTGACTGGTATGGCTCAGTTGGTTGGAGTGTCCTCTTATAAACTAGAAATCATGGGTTGATTCCCAGTTGGGGCACATGCCCAGGTTGTGGGTGTGGTCCCAGGTCTGGGCACATGTGGGAGGCGGCCAAATGGTGTTTTTTACATCAATGTTTCTCTCCCTCTCTCCCCCTTGTTTCCCCTCTCTCTTAAAAAATCAATGAGCATGTCCTCAGGTGATGATTTAAAAAAATTATTGAGGACCTCAGAGTGCTTGTGTTTATGTTGATTAAATCTGTTGATATTTTACTATATTAAAAATTACAATTGAGAAAAAATTAAACACTAGTTTATTTTAAATAGCTATGATAAACCCATTATGTGGTCATGCAAATGAAATACTTTTATGAAAAATAACTTTTTTAAAACAAATTAAGACTGGAATTGAATTACATTTTTATAAATCTCTTTAATGTCTGGATTACTAAAAGACAGCTGGATTCTCATTTCTGTTTCTGCATTCAGTCTGTTGTGATGTGGTGGTTTGGTTGAAATATATGCAGAATATCCAGCTTCACACAGATAGTTTGAAAAGGGAGAGGTATTTTAATACCCTTTTCAGGTAGTTCTAATTGCTAAAAGATGAGTTGCTGCATAAAATCTGAAATCATCTCACTGAGCTTATTATTGTGCTCTGTTATATTAAAATGCATTCTCGGTCTTCTCAACAAATCATTCTGGAACAGTTGGTCATCTCAATGCAAAATAATGACCCTTGACTGTTAACACTACATCACGTATAAAAACTAACTCAAACTAGGTCAGAGTTGTAAATATGAGCTAAAATTTTAAAACTAACAAGAAAATGAGGAAGGAAAAAAATCATTGTGACTTTGGGTTAGGCAAAAGATTTCTTTGATAAAACACAAAAATATGAACCTTAAATCAAGGAAAAGTTGGATTTATCACAGTTTCAAATTTCTGCTTTTCAAAAGACACTTTAGAAAATGAACAGGTAAGGCACCGACTGGGAGAAAACATTTGTAAAATATATTTCTGATAAGAGACTTGTATTCAGAATATATAAATAACTCTTACAACATAATAATAAGATAAACTATCCAGTAAAACAATGAGAAATTAGTAGGCAAAAATATTGAATGGATACATTACCAAAAAATATACAAGTGGCAAATAAGCATATGAAAAGATGCTCTATATTTTTAGTTATCAGGGAAATGCAAATTAAACCACAGGGAGATACTATTACACTGCCACCCAAAGCCTCTTCCCACCCTGGAATGTTGGGGTGGGAAATCTTACAGATCCTTAATACATGCTAGTGTAATAATGAGAAATATGCTAGAAAATGCCTTGAAAGCAGAATTCTTACACTTATCCATTGACTTCCACGGTTATCTGTAGAGTGCTTTTTCATAGTTGGGGCTCAATAAATGCTGATGATTTGAACTGTATCAGATAAGTGGTAAAGATTATCATATGCAATTAAAAATTGTACAAGTTAGCCCTGGCTGGGTGACTCGGTTGGAGCATCATCCTGTGCACCAAAAGGTAATGAGTTTGATCCCCAGTAAGGGCACATACCTAGGTTGCCTTTCAGTCCCTAGTCGGGGTGTGTACTGGGGGCAACTATTTGACATTTCTCCCATCATTTCTAAAATTAATAAACATATCCTCAGGTGAGGGTTTTTTTTTTTAATTGTACAAGTTAAAATCATCTGACTTGGAACCAAGATACCAAGAAAAATTCAAATTTTCATTTGGTTTATAGCAATTTTGAATATAAGGTCAGTAGGAAAGAATTCTGAACAAATTCACCATCACTGTCAGGGTGGTCTCTATTTTGTCTTAATCACAAATCAACAAATGTTTATCTTTAAACATTTGTTGAGTCCTCTTATAAGTTGCTACTTCTAGAGTATATTTGAAGAAAGATTGATTTGGAGATTTTACTGGAAAATTCAGGAATAAATTTGAGTGTGTGGTCCTTGAATTATATTGCAGGAGTGAGATTGTGTGGTATAGGCAGAAAAGAGATGCTTAAGAAACATCTTTGAAAAGAAGCCCAGAGGCCAATGTATGGTGCCGTAGGTAAGAGCATGGGCTTTGGCACCAGAGTGCTTGACATTTGGGCCTGGTTCTATCTAGATATGACCTTGGGCAAGTACTTGACTTCTCAATGCCTCAGTTTTCTTTTCAGTAAAATGGGATGATAATAGGATCTCTGACAGAGTTGTTAGGATTAAATCAGTTGATTTATATGTTAAGTCCATAGTACAGTGCCTGGAAGGTTATTGGATTTTTATATTATTAGAAAAATGTACAGAAGACTAGCTTTCAGAAAATACTGTTTTTTCACCTTGGT